CCCCAAAACCCCAAAACCCCAAAACCCCAAAACCCTAAAACTCTCATATTGAAATTTTCACATTTTAAATCTCCCTATAATATCAGCAATTTTTAAAAAAATATATATAATTTCAATTTCTTGAGATCTCTAATATATCCCTTAAGAATCGGGATATCTATAATCAGAATTGGCTAGGCGTTAAAGTATGGAAAATATTACAGACAAGAGTCTATCAAGAAGTATATGTCTCATGATAACTAGTGAGGATAGAGATGTTATACACGCTTGATGTTTCTTTAAAATTTGTGAGAGGCGTTTAAAGTGGAGGCATAGGTACAGAATTTGGCCTAAAAATGCAAGAGGTTTAGTTCAGATAAGTACTTTTGGTTTATACAAGTGGATATTTTGGCAATTATTTGTAGGTACAAGATATAGTATTAGGATTTTACAAGTTGCTCTTTTGATTCAGGATCTGAGGCTTTCTATGCTGCTTAAAATCCCCCATTTCTTTTCTTCCAAACATCGTTAAATTTGGATTTTGCCCTGGATCTTCTTGAAGCTTGGGAGATAAAACTAGAGTTAAGCTTAGGCTTATGGAACCCTGAACTACTGCTCATTGAAGGTCCTGGCTTAGTTGTGATGGGACCTGGTTTGTTTGTGTCTTGACTTACTGAGTTGTTAGAATTGTGAAGATTATCCCAGTCTCTTCCTCTACCATTCCCATCTTCGTTCACCTGTAGCTTACCCTTTCTGGCAATAAAGAAGGAACTTGGCTGTAGAGGAGCTAACGGGGCTTGGCCTGTGGGCTTGGGAGTAGGGGTTTTAGGAAGGGAGTGAACCTGTGAAGGGGAATTTTGGAGTTTGGAGAGGTGGAAAGGGACTGGTGGGGGAGCGGTAGAAGATGGGTAAGCGAATCTTTGGAAGAGGGAGGTGGATGGGGGTCTGGAGGTTTGGGAGTGGGAGAGTGTAGGGAGGTTGTATGGGGATGGAGGAGGAGGGTTAGAGGGGCTGGTTAGGGACAAAAGTGGTTTAGGAGGGAGTTTAGGCTCTTTTTGAGGGATTTTAAGGGTTTTGGAGGTAGGGTTTGGTCTATTAGGGTGTCTTTTAGCAGAGGAGGTGATGAAGGAGCGGATTCCTGGTTTGTGGATAGGCATGATTGATTTAGATCTGCAATGAATTATGTTCTGTTTGGCTTTGGTGGACTTGATTGCAATGTTTGAGGATTTGGTTGTCCATTTATCTAATGTACCATTTTGAGATGATTGAGTTTTTCTTAAAAATTTTGGAGGCTTCATAGTTTTTGGGGATAATTTCAAACTCGTCATTTCCTCAAAGAATCCCTCAATTGTATCAAAAGCTTCATCAAAGCTTTCAAATGTTACTTGTCTTTCTCTTAACCACTTTGACCTCTCTTGGATAGCTTTTCTATCTCCGTATCTTCTATCAACAAGTAGGATCAAACCATAATCATTGATATGCCTTATTACTCTACCAATAGCTTGATTCACTGCTCTGGATCATTCTTGATTATACCAATCTCGTCCACTGATATGTGATTTTCCCTCTGCATACTTCCTCTCAAGGTATTCTTTATTTAAGTACAATCTTTGGATCTTTAAACTGTGCAAAGGGCATCCCAATAATAATCACTCACCTCGCTGCACGATCTGAAAAGTCTATACCTTCAGAGACCTTGCCTCTTCAAACTCCCATCAGGATGGCTCCTTTGCCATTATAAAGATCAGCTTCATAATGATTCATGACTGATGCAAATTTTGCGCTTATCTTAGGTTCCTTATATATTTTATTTCTGGCCCTCAAGCTCACTAAAACAGTTATATTCATTCCATATTTTGGATCATTTCTCCATCAGGAAGTACGAGGGGAAGAAAATAAGCATCCCATCTGGGCATCTCTGTGCTATTTTTGAGATAGATTCCCCCAAATCTTGCAGCATTTTGGCGTCATCTCTCCTGGTGTAGGTAAACGTAAACTCATTTCCATTAATCCCTCTGGGCAATACCCCCATACATACCTGTTTTGGCTTTATCACGTGGGAGTTTTCTAGCTGGATCGGAAACTCAGACTGCAGCTCGACTGCAAACGAATCCATTGGTGATAAGGTCCCTGAGGTGAGAATTATAGATCGAACGCCTAAATCTTCTATATCTTTGAATGAAAATCCAGGATTTGTGCACCAAATTCCGAAATTAGTAATGGAGCTTTTCTTTTGGCTCACCTCTTGTGTGATTCAAATATGGAAATCTTCTGAAATATCACATTGAGCTTCCTCAAGTCCTGTGCTTCCGCCTGCAGTTCTCTTCTTCCAAATCTTGTAGATAATAGTCAGAGCTTTGCTGAGGTCTTCAAGATTGAGGTTGCCTTTCTTTTCTTTCCGAGTGATCATTAAAGAGTCCTGTATAGCTCTACTGATGAGTTCGATCCAGTGACTGATGTTCCCTTCATTAACCTCATCAAGCTTCTTTGTTGCCTCATCAGAGACTTCGTGCTTGGTTGAAATAGTGGATTGCTTCTCTTCTTCGTATTCAGGGTTTATCTTAACCTCAGTCTGATCCTTTGCGACTGTGAATTCATCCATACTCCTCTGCTCTTTGTTTCTAGTCAAATCTGGTAAGATTTTGAAAATATTTTCAAATTTTGATACCAGAAACCCCTCTTTTTGTTTGAAATGCTCCCATTTGCCCCTCTTTAAGGCTCTTTCTTGGAGATTCTTGAGCATTGTGGACACTAGAGTTTGGATTTGGATGCACTCGCTTTCTTTGGTGGTAAACGAAATCTGCTTGGAGTTATCTAAAAGTAAAAATTAATTTTGAAATTTATGGTCACTTAGCACAAAACTAACCTATTGATGATTTAGACAAAGTACAGCCTCAAAACTTACTTTTGTTTGTTGTTGCTCCAGATTGGTTCTCAATACTACTTTTGAGAGAAGCTATTTCTTTGAATATACTTTCAAGCTTAGCTTCGTTAAGATCAACACTCGAGACAGATTCACATCTTTCCAAAATATTATGAGCTTCATCAATTATCACGATTGAATTCTTGAAGTTTATTTCAAGATTTGCTCTTATTTTCTCATCCAGAAGGTAGTTATAAGGAATCAAGATAAGATCAGCGCTATTTCAGTCTCTCTCTGCTTAGAAAATAAGGACATCTAATGCATAAAACTATATCGCACTTACACATCAGAGTCTGTTCCAAATTTATGAAGATCTTCAATATCTTGGATGCCCCAAGTCTCATATTTCTGTTCCTTCTCCTGATATCTCTCTGCATTTTTCTTTTTGAATCATCTGAAGTCATTGAAACCTTTTGATGTAGCATGTTTGCATGCTGTATTTATACTTTGACCTTTAAGCTTCTTCAGATCAGGATGTATACACATATGATCTCTGGAAGCCATCAATGAGGTCCTCGGGTAATATTCAGTCTCTTTTAGTTCGTTCATCACTTGGTTCAGCTGAGAATGAGTTCGTGAACAATATATCACCTTAGGTCGCACTCTTAACCCACTATCTTCAGCTAATTTCTTATCCTTAACTTGCTTAATCTCTCGATCTAACCAGGCAAGTGCTGCACAAAGGACTCATAATGTCTTTCCTGTGCCTGTAGGACTTTCCAAAAGGGCATTCTCTGCTTTATGTCATGCCTTAATGACCCGGATCATGTAGTCGAACTGTATATCGTACCTCTGGTAGGGGAACTTGATCTCGTAATCCCATATTTTAACCGTACTCATTTTATAACACTTGTGTAATCTCAACTGGGCTTATATATTTTGGGGTTTTGGGGTTTTGGGGTTTTGGGGTTTTGGGG